ATCAATGATTCAGATAAAACAATGCCAGAAAACGCAACTACTGTATATGGATTGATGGTTGGTACATGTTGATACCACCCATAAAAATGGATCAAAATGGTAAATGACTGGGGCTGGTTTACTATTGCTTAACTAACATTTACCAAATATTTTTGGGTTTGAAAATGGTTGAAAGATATTGAAACCACCAAGCCGAAAACTGATGGAAGAACCACTTCGACCAGCTGTTGCACCTTTCCAGGTGGCAGATGAGTGTGTCCTGACAGACGGCAACAAAGAGAGCCCCAAGACCTTAGGTTTCTTGGCAGATCTTGGCAGAGTTGGTGTCCAGCTGTGTCCCAGCTGTGCCTAGTCACCTAGTCATCCAGCTGATCCAAGATATTCCAAGATACGGTAGTCCAAGATATTCCAAGCTACATCTTGCAGGTGGCGTCTCCTTGGAATGGATGCAGGAAGCTGGACCCACCAAGTTCCTCGTGGGATCGGAGCATGGCATCATCCTCTCCTGCACCAAGCGGCCGAAGAAGCAGGTGGGGATGATGCTGGCCAGGGATCACCAGGGACTATAGATATCTATGGATATCTATGGATGATTGGGGTAAGGTCAGTTGTAATTACATGATATTATCATGATATTACTTGTAATTACCTCAGCGAACAACAAGTCAGCTGCCTCTATGGCTTTTCTTACCGCGAACCACCGAGGTGGAAATTGGAACCTGGTTTGGCTCTGAAGATCGTGGTGGCTACGGCAAGCACTTTGGCCCGGTGTACTCGGTGAAGCGTAACCCCTTCCACCCCAAGTTCTTCCTCTCGGTGGGCGACTGGTGTGGAAAGATGTGGATGGAGGAGCTGAAAGGCGCAGTTAAAACTCTGGGGGCCATCATGGGCCATTCTGCGACCAACGGAACGAACATGAACTAAACATGAACTAACATAGTATAACATAGTGTGACATAGAAAATCTCACAGGATCTTGACTCGCAAATTCTGTCAGGGGTCGCGTTGTAGGCCCGATGCTCCAGACTCCATACTACCCAGCCTTCATTAGCGCCGGAGCATGGAGTCCAACCAGGGCCGGTGCGACTTGGATGAAACGTGAGTTTCTGCTATCATTTGGCTGGTCTATCGTGGGACCACCTGGAAATTTGGTGGTTGATATACTGTATAATTATGTTCCCCACCGGAAATGCATTTTTGAATAATTCTGAAGCATCTCATGGTATCACCCATTTTGAAACACACCCATTTACTATTTGCTTGACTGATCTCTGTTGCTGATCATGACGGCCAGCAGCCCTTCAACTTCAGGGACAGTGAAGGGCTCAACATGGCTCAACTATGTAGTGGGCCATGTAGTGTACATGGTGTGAGCATGTATGCACACACACAATGACACATACACAGATATATATATATAAACAAAGTTAAATATATAAATATAAATAAATATAAATGAATATAAATAGATATAAATATAAATGAATATATATATATATATATATAAATGAATATAAATAAATATAAATGAATATAAATGATTATAAATAAATATAAATAAATAAATATAAATAAATAAATATAAATAAATAAATATAAATAAATAAACAAACAAATAAATAAATATATATATATATATACCGTTAAAGTCAAAGTTAGAATGCGGTTTTGGCTTCGCGTGATGGTGCCCCGTTATATGTAAATAAGATGATATATATATAATATCTAATGCACACACACACACATATATATAATTGACATGGGAACAAACCCATGATGCCCACATACACAGAACCATACAGATCTATACAGTATATAAGACAATTGCACTCATTGCTAAACATTATACGTTATGTTATATTATGTTATTACCATTGTTATTGCCCCATTGTTACATAAGCATGTCCGTTTCCGAAGGGGCTGGCCGCCATGGTAGTTTGCCATGGTGAGGTGTTCTTCCTGGCTCGGCAAGATGGCCGCCTGGATGTGTGGGACTACTTCTACCGCATGAATGAGGTGAGGCACCACATGGTACCCCCCAGGATCCAGCAGGATCCAGCAGGATCTGCAGAGTCTGCAGAGTCTGCAGAGTCTGAAAGTGATACATTGAATCGATGAGATGCAAGATGCCTTAGAAAGAACTTAGATAGTACCTAGCTCAAACTTGGAGAGGAATGAGAGGTAATGAGTCATCATGGAATCAGGATCCAGGATGAAATTCTTACGACTCCCGGAGCCCATGGCCCCATGGGACCAGGTGGCGCTGACGCAGCAAGTGTCAGATCGTGCGTTGACCTCGCTGAATGTGCAGTCTCATGGCCGCCTTGCCGCTGTGGGCGACGCGGGAGGCTGGGGCACGGCCCCCAAAAAACACGGTTTGTTTGAGACTGGGCTGTGGGGGATGCTAAGGGAAAAATTCTGACCATCTTGTTGGTACCGTAGGAGTCCTACCCATTATGTTCAGACAAACCAATTCTTTCTGTTGCGAGACACATTTGGTATCTGCTGACTGGGCAGGTGTGATCACGCTGCTGCAGCTGTGCGATGGCCTTGTTGATCCAGGAGATACCGTAGTGGCTGTTGGTCAGCTGATGATGCCCCCAGAGACATAGTTGGGAGATGTTAGGAGAACTATGAGGAAATAACTTGAAATGACCCTGTTTGAAGATCTTTGAAGGCATGTGAGTATATTTGAATCATCGATTTACAAGCGACTGATTTGTTATGATCGAATTCCTGATGGTTTTCCTGCGGAGGCTCCCGCATTTGCCAGAGCGGAATGTGGGAGCCAATCCGCCCCGGCAGCCCGGTAGGACCCAATGAGAAGAACATGATCGGTTGGATGTATGAACGGGAGACGAAGCGAGAGAAGTCCCTGGAGCAGATCAAAAAGCAGGGCGGAGGAGCTAAGAAGGACCACCCGCTGGACTGGGAAAAATCACCGGTGCAACCAACTCTTGGATTCTTTCCAAAAAGGCACTCTAACCATTGCAATCAATCAGCACTCCCAGCCATCGCCCTTGATTCAAGAGCACAGGAAAACATGACTGGAGAGTATGAAGGAAAACAAGGAAATCATAATAACTTGAAACAACTGGAGGGTTTTTGAGACTTCCCACACTGCCCAACTCATTAAACTCATCAGGATGAGAAGGATGGTGCGACAGGTACGACAATTGACAAGACCAAGTACCAGGAACGAGAGAAGGCCTTCTTCACCGAGCTCAACATGACCGGTGATGACCTGGGCACCACTTTGCCAGCACGCTAGCGAATGGTGACCGCTGGGTGACCGCTGGCACATATTGAACACTCTTTTCCGCTACGGTGACCGAGGTAACCGGTGGTGTGTAGATGATGCATCGGTACCTTGTTCGCAGCCTCAAGTCTCACACAGGGTGTCGTGGTGACTGTACAGCATCCTGCCAGCATGTGGGTCACTTGAAGCATGGTTTCACAGAGAGCCCGTCGGCTCACAGCTTGACGCTTGCAAAACTTGCGCAAGAAAAGGGCGCAGATCAGGCAGATCAGGGTCGGGGTTTGTTCAGGGTGCAGTCAAGCACAAAAAGCGAACTATTGGACCCATGGCTAGAGAGCAACGTTGCCAGACTCTGTGGTTTGTGTCCCTGTCAGGTGCTTTTCCAAGTTTCAGATCGTTTCAGATGCCCCCACTATGTCACAATATCATCAATATCCCAATCGACTTGAGCGTGTGTTTTTTCTAAAATGATGTTGGACGTTGCACCTTTTTTTGAAGATGGGGCTGTCAGCACCAAGCCGGTTGCCGATGGGGCCGTCTTCGACAGACTTCCCAGGTGCGAGCGCCGGTTCCTGGGACCAGGCACGACGAGAGCTCAAGTGCGTGCTGCAGGCGGGGGAGGATAGGATGATGGTTGGGTGTCTATGCTGGGCCAATGGCCTAGTGAATCCTAGTGACTAGGGGATCTAGGATGATCTAGGGGTAACCAGGGCGAGACTTCAAACCCCAGTTTGGTTAGCCCAAACTGTCCTCATCTCTCCATGAATCCTTGGCAGGACTTGGAGGCTGGGAGCGCTGATGGGAGCCTTATAACAGACCTCGCACAACTGTTCCAAGAAAGATCAAACACACACATACACACGCACACACGCACGCACGCACGGATATGTATATATATATATATTATAGATAATACATATAATATACATAAATAAACAAGAATATATACTTATATTTTATACTTTATGTATATTAACATATATATATATATATCTGTACGTGCATACGTACGTACGTACATTACCTTACCTTACCTTACATTACATTACATTACATTGCATTACATTACATTACATTACACACACATACACACACAGATAGATAGATAGATAGATAGGTAGATAGGTAGATAGGTAGATAGGTAGATAGGTAGATAGATAGATAGATAGATAGATAGATAGGTAGATAGATAGATAGATAGATATACATACAAAGAATCGGTGGTTGGGTATTGATGTGTGGCACGGGCTTAATCTGGTTGAGGAGAAACCGCGAAGGGCATGGAATGCAGCTTCGGGCTCTTGCAGCCCTTTCGCAGTTTGAAGTGCATTCCATGCCAAAGGAAAAGATTGCTAGACAAACACCCTGAAACTGCAGATAGCTACCTTGAAAGCATGACTTTAGATGATACACCCATAGATATTGACAGCATTTTCCGCGAATCCAGCAGACCCAAGTCAACCATGGACCTTGTTTGCCAATGATCTAGTCTTGGTCGGATGCAAACTAAGCCAGATGATTTCGTTCATTTCAGCCCACCAAGCTGAAGATTAAGAGCTTCAGCCGCCTTTTTTACAGGGCCAGATCGGCCAGGGTAGATGACGTGGATCAACAATGACCAATTTGGTGTTGCACTGCCCTCCCCACCTCAACATACCAAGATACTACAATACCCAGAGACCATTTGGGTTTCCGATGGTTTCCTTAATCGGGGCTTCTTTCTTCAAGTTGATCCAGCGCAATGAGAGTCCTGCTCTTGAGCCTGTTGTCATTGGCAGCATCCACCGGCTGGGAGAAGGCTTGTGACGAGGATGCAATTGGACCTCAAACTTGCGCAAGCCTCCCTGTTTGTAATATGTAGTACTCGTAATAGATCGTATAATCATACGTACATACACGAATATAACAAGTATTCATCATATTCATCTATATATTCATCTATTGATACTTATTGGGTATCTATTATGTGTATCTCATCCCGCATGGCACATGATATCCATCAAGAGGGTTGTCCAGTGAATGCAGGTACGGCATAGGCACGCTGTTAGGTTACATGGTGTTACATGGACACGGTGATTGGTGCTTTGTGCGCTGGGTTCCTTGGGTGTTCCCAGGTTACATCCGGCGGCCAAAGGATTGCCCCGTCACCGCTGTCCTGGACAACTCTGTTCAGGGCTTGCGCTTTGATGGCCATGGCGCTGTGTCCGGAAGAGGTTCAGCGGTTCAGCGGGTCTAAATGAGTTGGAACATGTTGGAGCAGATGCGAACGATCAACAAGGTTGTGTTTCCATTGGGGTTAGTTTCATAAATTGTTTCATGGCATAACCTGGTGTCGGTTGTGGTGCCAGATGGTGCCAGGCACCTCCAGATATTTGTACGACTATGCTGAAGCAATGAGATCGGAGATCCTTGATTTGCTGACGCTTGGACTTGGACTTGGACGGAGGTCAGAGGTCACCAGACGTGGTAAGTCGAGGCCAGTCCCTGGTGGTCACCGCGCCAAGGTTTGCTCCAAATTACGCCGCATCCATCCAGGTGCAGCCGGCCCGATGGCCAGAGCCACCATGGCCAGTGCATTTTTGCAACATTCTTTCATCAATTACACTAAATTACACTAAACATGCCAGGTGCTGAAAGTGGAGATTGGAGGAGATGCACAGACTGGGTTTCTCGGCTGAACACAGACTGAGTTGCCGCAATTGAAATCGATATGGGTTGAGGCAATGCACCTCATGGTGAAGGAATGGCATGCCAAGGTTGAAGAATGTTAAATCCATGAGCTGCACAAAATACACAAGCAGCGAACGAGAAAAGACACCAGTTAACAACACACAGATCTAGCCATGATATATATCCAATGACCAATTTCATTCAATTTATTTCAATTTCCTTTTGGCGTGGGTGCTGTGGTCTGTATGACACTTCCAATGTTGGTTTGGGAAACGCTCCTTCAGTGGGTGAAGGCTGTAAATGTGTAGGAACATGCGCGCATGACGGTAGTGCAATAATGTCAGTTGGACTCCACATGCACCTCCATTGCATCTATCATATGCGTGTGTTTGATGATACAGGTGATACATTTCATGTCTTTGTCTAGTGTCATTTACATCATTTACTTATTTGTCTAATTACATACTCCTAATTACTGTATTCATCTGTATTAATCTATGGATCACAGCAACCAGTTTACCTTGCCTGCAGCCTGAATATAGTTTTCATGTTTTCTATACTTGTTTATTCATTTATCAACTTCTCTTTAATTTTACAACACTGTCATCATGAATGTATAATATATATCAATGTGATAAACTCAACGCTAAACCACCCGAATAATCGGTGGTATAAACCCTCCAAAATTCGAGATTTATCATCGGGCCGAACACATTACCAACGACCAATGGCTTCAGGGCATAGCCGGGCATAGCCATGTGAGATGCCCATGGGCTGCTTGCCATGTCAGGTTCGGAGTTGAGCCCAGCCATCGACGAATTTCGAACGAAACCAGCTGCGAGCGCGTGAGGACCTTCTGGCTGATCCGAGAGGCCTGCGGATGGAAATGGAAGTCCTGAAGATTAGTATGCTTAAGCAATTTAGATCCATTTACTATCAGTATTACGGCTATTCATATATGATTATGTTATGTACATATACTACATATATTGAATCATATAATCACGACCTACGGCCGATGAGAATCTGCATGCCTCTGGTTGTAATACATGCTCATTCAGCCGCAGTAGAGTTCCTATCGCAGGCCAGACAGCGCAATCCAGATTTGGTGGTGCTGGCTTCTGCGTGGGCCTTTCCTGCGTGGGTGGGCGTCGAGAACGCGTCCCAGCTCCTTGGTTGCGAATCAGCACTGCAAGGGCTGCAAGGGGTTTGGCACAGTCTTCGTAAAGGAACTTGCCATGGCAAGGACCAGCTTCTACAACGATGACGCCATTGACTACATTCTGAGTGGAGCTTGGCATGCTGACGTTGTAGAGTATGCTGGGTGTAAGTGCACAAGTGGTCACTCGTGGTCACTCCATTCTGGTAGTTTCGAGTTTTCTCTTGAAACGATGCCGTTGATTCCTGTTGTTTTCAATATTTTTCAATGTCTCTATGCTGGTGAGTCTTTGAATGTCGTTGACATGTATTAATTACAGACGATTACAGGAATACCTTAGTAGCTGCGCCAGGTTGGATCCGCTGTGCCAATGAGACCGGCGCCGGCCACATCGACTACATCGGCAGTCGGCCCCGGAGGGTCACCATGGACCTACTCGGCCGGAGCCGGGGACCCCATGGGGACCCCCATGGGGACCGGGCATGGTGGACCTATGTATCATGATTTGATATGATTTGATATGATTTGACCAAAGGCTCTGAGTTGAATGGCTATAATACCTATAGAGAGATATATGGTGGTTGATCCAAAAGTCCTCGTAGAGAATTGCGAAGACCATTCATGTTCTGTTTCCAACCCTTGCGAAAGTTGTGTTCCAAGTTCGTAACAGGATCAACAGTACTGTAACATGTTATTTTGCGAAATTTGAGCGAAAGTTCGATATTGTGCAGCATATATAGTTTGTAGATGTTTGTAGGGATATTTTTGCGCATGTTCTGCGAAAGTTATGCGAAGGAGCGGGCGACACACACACACATATATAATTATATAATATACATATTTATACACACGAACAAACCCAATATAATAAGCAACCATCCGTTCTTAAAAGTTTTTTTTTTCAGGCAATGACTGTGTCTTCACAAGAGGCGTTGTTGCCCCACATGGGTCCCGCGAAAGATAAACATGGAGTTCGCGAAAGTTTAGATAGCTAGCTAGGTAGGTAGATAGATATACAGCTGTTCCTTGACTGAGTCTGAAATTTGCAGTAGAGCTGGAAAGCATTCGGGTTGCCCTCAAAGAATCTTGCATAAAATGCCATTGTTCTGTAGGCCACTTAGGTCACTATAGGTCGCATCTCAAGCCAGGCATAGCCAAGCATGGGCTGAATGGATCGTATGTGAGGATCACCCCGGTTTGCACTAGCAGCACTAGCAGTTTCAAAATACTGAGTTTTGTTTCAGTGGGCCTTGCGAAGCCGAAGCAAATACTGGGGCCCCAGAATCCGATCAGCACCTTGGCAAAGCATGGCAAAGCTCCAGTTCTGAGCACAGTCAGAAGAATCTAAACCTTTGGGAGTAGCCTCTGGTAAACTAACATAGCTATGGAAAATCACCATTTTTAATGGGTAAATCCACTATAAATGGCCATTTTCAATAGCTATGTTAGTCATTACCAGAGGGTAGCACATCATTAGTGGTCCCATCAGTTCCTGTCTTATCTGTCTTGGACTCACGTCATCCCCCAGGTTTTATTCAGGACAAGAAGGAATCCTATGAGAGCGGCGGTCCATGATAATCTCTTCCCATTTCCCAATGTGTCCAAGTTGTGTATGATGTGTATGATGTGTAATTATAGCTCAACTTAGTCACCAACCTCACCCCAAGTACTATGTACTATTCATGGATAGAAAGGTCCCATGCTGCTGGCCGTGTTTCTGGTGGATCTGGAGACTTTCCTTTCCACCAAAGGTGAAGCCCATGAGTCTCCACCTTTGACATGGACGGTGGCCTTGCAAAACGCCTTAGCCGCTGAGCTAAGGAGCTAAATGATCTAAATGCAGGGCCATTTGGGCCCCTTAGAGTTGCCCGAATGATGGTGCATGATGGTGAATGTAGATTTGACATTATGGGGGAGGGATTGGGAAACACTTGAACAACACCCATATCGAAATCATAACCCCAAATTCAAAGCATATCAAATTCATATCGTCAAATCGTATCCAAAACCATATTAAAATCGTAAAAAAATATTTCCTGAATTCAGCATCCTAGAGGGATTCCGGGCTTATAAAACTAGATGTCAGCTAAGACTGTTGGGATAGATGATTCACATATGATGTATAAATGCCTTCAAGGGAGCTTCTGCTGATGCTGGTGTGCGGTTAAGACTTGTCACAGGCTTGTTGGGGCACAACTTGTGTGAACCAATTCCACATCATTCTTCTTTGCACCAATGAAATCTCCCCTTCGAGAGTGGGAGGACGTACTGTCACAAGAATCAGGTAGCTGCCGAGCTCCCTACTCGGCTTGTCCTTCCAGATGCAGAGTATGACACTGGGACATGGAAGTTGAGATAAGTTGGGCTGGAAAGATACAAGAAGTTGGCCTTTAATTTAAGAACTCAGTCCGTCAGACTCAGCTTATCTCAGGATTGTTTCCACTTGCAGCATTCAGGATAGTCAATTTGACTTGCACTTCTCTTCAAAGTGAACCACTTTGTTTGGCTTTTAAATCTCAGCTATTTTGAGAAGGGACCCATCTCAATCTCTACAGATGCTCTCACTGAGTCTCAGGATCGTCATACGTCATACGTAGCTTAAATAGCGGCTGGCAAGCCGCTGCTGATTTCCATCATGTTTCTGGACTCGGGAAACCTTTGGCAAAGGGCATTGCATGGGGATACGCTTGACTTCAGATCCTGACCAGGACCCTGAAATGGCAGAGATGCTGCAATCAGAGCCTCAACTGGCTGCGGCACTTTCCGGAGGAGCCTTTGGTTGCTTGAAATACCTAGCTGGGATATGGTGGTGGAATGCGAGAACAAAATGATGGTGGTGGTGGTGGTGGTGATGATGATGATGATGATATTAATTGTGGGTCAATACTAGCAAATACAATATTTAAGGGTGATGCTCATGCATTTACCAGCTATTTGGATCCTCAAAAAGTTATCCTCCCGGGGTTTGACCCATCCCAAAGAGCTGAGGCTTGCACTATCCCTGCTTCATCCCGATGCCTTCCCTTGAAGAGCATGGCCTGGCAATGTGGAGCACGGAAGACGGCGGAATGCCAGTTTTTGGGCTGGATGTTGTTGGTGCTGATTTTGGCCATGACTAAATAGGCCTTAAATACAGATTATATAAATAGAATGTACTCATAGATATACCTAGTCATATACGCTAATAATATCTTATACTTATTATACTTATATCCAGATACATACCGTTATTCATATTATTAATGACATGCTGGCTGCATCCTCTGAGGCTGATTGGCCCGGAGCCGCCTGTGCGGGGCGGACGGTGAATACGCAACCTGGCGTGATATCCTCGTAGCGATTGTGGTCAAAAACTGTGATTTTTCAAAATAACTGAAGAATATATGGGAAACACTCATGAAGAAATTAAGGATATTTTGGGGAATATTGTCTGGAGGATTCAAGAAAAACCGTGGCATGGTGATGCGCTCTGCTTCAGGAACTTGGTGCGGATGAACGTGACCTGGCAAAAGCTGGAAAAAACATCCTCCACTTGTAGATCATTGTCATTGGAATGAGGACTTGCACCGGAAAAACTGATAGAAACTTCGAAGCCTTTGTTGTGAGGAAAATCACCAGATGAGAGGAATGTAGTTTTTCGTTTGCTTTCCTGGTTGTTTGAACCTTCTACACAGGTGACTAGCACCTTGCTTCGCTCCCTGGTCGGAAGCTTAGAAGTGTTGGAACTTGCCTTAGACAGGTTGATACTTGTATTGGAACACATTACGAGACTAGGGATGGTTACTGCATCAGTTACTGTACTATCCCTGCTAGATCGAGAGCTAAAGAGCCAAGTTAGCCTCCCAACCAGTGAGCAATGAACCTCATTTCCATAACGGAAGGTAGGGCTTCTCTCCAGCAGAAAAGGTTGAAGCGTGGTTGATGCAACGGATGAGTTTCCGTCTCTTCTCCTCCGGTGGAAAAGCAGAGACTTATTTTGGATGATTTCTTCAGTTTCCATGATCATATCATCATGCCCACGTTTTCGCATGTTTTTTCCAAATTGTCTTTCCCCAATTTTGGATGATTTCCCCATCATTGTCATCATTTCCCCCCATGTAGAATCTCAGGATTCTCAGGTTGCCGAAACATCATATTTCTATCATTTTCCTGTTGATCTGGAGCTTCCGAGATCAACAGTCCATACCCTCTGGTAAACTAACATAGCTATGGAAAATCACCATTTTTCAGGGGAAAATTCACTATAAATGGCCATTTTCAATAGCTATGTTAGTTTACCGGAGGGTAATTTCTATACATTTCTATCAGATTCCACCGAAGTTGCCGCAAGAGTTGGTCCATCAGGTTTGGGCAGTGCATCCTGCCATCCCCGGGCATCAAAATGGCCTCATTTCCGCGGCAGAGCCTTGGTCGGGCGTGTGCCTTGGTATGGTGATTCCGGGGGTTCCCCGGCCATCAAAAAACATAGGATGAACATGGAGATTTTAATGATCTTCAATGGGGCAATATATGGGCAATACAATAGATGATTCATGATGATTCATGACTGGTGAAATTTGAAAATCGCCATGATGTTCAATTCACTTTATCCTCTGGCAGTCAAACACGGCTATGGAAGAGCTCACAAAGTCACCAATTTAAGATGGCTTGTCCTTTGAGTGGTTATTTTCCATTGCCATGTTTGACGACCGCATGCTACCTAAGTCATTTCTGATATTTTCTAGTTAGCTGAACTCAGGTTATTTCAGGTTCTCAAAACAACCCTCTCTCCAAAAAACACCTCTCCATGTTGTTGTACAGCTCCCGGGCTTAAATCTGGGCTGGTTTGGGCCCATGAGGTATTCGATCCAGGATCCACTTTGGATGCTAGCGCACACCACTCGCTTCACACAGGCGATCCGTGGCGGGTACCGGGAAAGCCTGGATTCTGTATTTGGCTATCCAGTGGTTAGGAGGGACCTGAGGAGGAAGGCAGTCCAGAGTCTTTAGGCGTCATAAGCCCATCAAGACTTCATCTCGAGCATTGATCTAGTTTAATAGAGGAAGACCTCAGGAGAGCAAATGGAGCATTTCTGCAAATTGCTATTGTACATGATTGTACTATCTGTGCTTCTACTATCTTCTACCTAATATATATTTTACCAGCAGCGCGGTTTCCGTTGTCAATTTGTGGCGGCAGGTGGGCTGGTGGGTCTTGCCCCTTCAATCCGGAGCAACTGGTCATTTGAAGAGAGGCCACTGCTGGACCACCTGCAGCATGATGCAGCACAGGACATGGACATGACATGGACATGACGACATGTTGCGACATGTTGATACCCTTCCAATGGGACCGTGGCTACTGTAATATGATGATATATGATGTAAGTTGATGTACTATGCCATTACTATTGCATTATAATGTGCTGAGTTCATCTAGATCATCCCCGTCCTGACAGAGGCAATCTCTAGACAGTCACTTCGATAACTTTATCCATGGTGCAACCTTTCTAATTTCCATGGTTGCAGTAGGAGGTACTGTCGGCAACCACTTTGACCAATTTTTTCCAGCACGAAGTAATACATACAATACTTTGTGCAGCTTTGTAGTAGGGAGTACTGTTGGGTAATGTTACAGTGTGTGGCCAAGGGTTTGTCAGAGGATTCTCAGAAAACCTGCGCCAGCATCAAAGGTTTGCGCATGTAGTATCAGTACGTACAGTCCGCTAGTATGGGTCTTGTCCATGGCGTTGATTCTCAGCAGTGAGGAACTGGAACTCCCATACGCCAGGTGGCACCTTCGTTACATACCTCTCACCTGGCAGGGGCCTTAATGGACAAAGATTTCAGTCCGCCAGAGCAGACTGGAATCAGCAAATGGCCGGGTAATGCGGGGAGAGCACATACAATATTGGATGATGGATGGCGGTTTGAACTACTACTTATTTCATACCGGACCTGAGATTGGCGATGATTAGTGTTTGATCCGAATTACCACTTTTGAGAAGGATTGAAGTTACCAGCCAGCATTTATCTTGTATACCATAATTCTATAATGCGTCAATGTAAGACACAACTTGGAGGAACCGAAGAGAAACGCAGCATTGACAGCTCTCACGGTGCCACGGTGCTAAGATCGGAACAGCTTTACTCTTGTGGTTGAGAAGCTCCAGGCAGGGCATTGCTATGAACAAAAATGAGTCACAGCAAAACATGTTGAATGGTGGAACTCGTTCCTCAAATTGTCATGGACGACCGGCGTAGCACCGGCCCAAGTTTTAGGATGAAGGGGCCTGTAGCTTCGCCTCTAGGTGCCATGGATTCACTCGTGGCACTGGCTAGCCTAAGTGGCTGCCCTCCAGAAGTGGGAAGAGTTCTGGAGGGGCTCGGGTGGAACGTCCAGAGGTTGGGAACCTTAGAGGACGCCGAGCAGGAGCTCCTGGACAAAGTAGCAATGTCCATGGAGGAAAAGACAAGGCAGCCAGTGGACATGGCCGTGCTTAGCACGTTGATCGATGTGGCCGCCAAGGCTGCCAAGATTTCCTGGAATGCCGAGGGGCGATCTGGGGACGCAGAGCTTCTGGTGACCCATCTGGCCAAGGAGATGGAGGACAAGATGAATGCTCACAGATTGGCAGCAGCTGAGAGGTTGCGCCAAATGGTGCCTAGGAAGGGGAAGGCCAAAGTACAGAGATGGCCAACGCGCTTGCACAGGAGACTCAATGAGGCCGGGGACAATCAGGCCTTGAGGGAAAGTGTAGAGCGCAATGAAAGGAACCGCTGGATAAAGGAACTCAAGAGTATCCTGCGGGAGGCAAAGGCGCCAGTGATGGCCAGAGATGAAGTGTTCGAGGGAGTGGATCTCACGAAGAGGTATGGAAAGGGAAGGAGAGCCTCAACTCTCAGGAAACACGTAAAGACGTGGGAGAGGTTGAGAAAGTGGATGAGGGTCACCTTCCACAAGGCGTGGCCGACTCAGCCAGAGGAGTTTGCCATGTACCTGGAAGCCAGGGCAAACGAGCCGTGTGGGAGGTCCGTCCCTAGCAGTATCTACAAGACGCTGCTATTCATGGAGGCGGCAGGTGAGTTCCCAGTTGAAGAGCAATTGGGAAGGACCTCAGCGGTCAAGAACGTCCTTGAGGAGATCAATATGAGCCTGGCGGAGTTCGAGCCGCGCTTCGCCAAGAAGGCGTGGCATTTGCCGGTCAGGATTGTGGAGATCCTGGAAGAGTTGGTGCTCGACTGCAGACTTGAGGCGTACCCCAGAGCGTATGCCTGGTTCAGACTGATAAAGCTGTGGACGGGCATGCGCTTCTCCGATACAGCAGGTTTGGACCATTCCACATTGGAATGGGGTCCATTCGGAATCACTGCAGTGCTGAACAAGACCAAGACGAGCGGGCCTGGAAAGAAGGTGCCGCTGCTCCGCATTTGGGTGAGCAGTGAGTGCTACGTGAAGGATCAGACATGGATTTCCACAGGTTTTGAGCTTTGGATGAAGATGTCGATGGAAGCAGGTCTTTTAGAGAGGGACTTCATGCTGCCGTGTCCCAACAATAGCTTGAACGGGTTCAACAAGAAGGTGGCGAAGTACGCAGATGCATCAAGGTGCTCACAAGCCCTCTTCGGCGACATGAGGACCGAGTATGAGGGCGGGACGGTGCCGCTTCTCTCGGAAGGTGTTGGCACTGTGTGGAGTGAGCACAGTGAAAGGGTGACGCTCAGAACATGGGCCGCTGCTGCCGGTATCCCAGGGGATATCATGAAGCAGTTAGGTCGCTGGTGTCCCACTACAGATCAGGGATACGAGCGTACATTCCGCACAAACACCATCAAGGCCCAGGCGAGGATTGCGGAATTTGTGAGGAGGTCGATGGGTGGAAGACAAGACCCATTCGACGAAGCGCTGATACTTGCAGCGGTCACGGAAAAGATGGAAAGGCTTGACTACCCACAAGGTGCAATCGACATACAGCTCGAAAAGCTGACCTCCTTCGGAGCAGGCGCTGTCAAGAGAAGGAGGTGGGAAGAAGCAAGCGACGACGAGGAGAACGAGGAGTTCGACAGTGGCTGGTTGAAGGTGGGAAATCCACCGAGGATCGAGGTACTAGAGGGAGGTATCTCGGTGGATCCTGAAGAGGAGGAGGATGTCGATCATGATCGGGACATGGTCGACGAGAAAGGATCTGACGAAGGAGCGCTGATCCTAAAGGGGACCTACGTTGTGAGCATCGTGGGTCGCAGCGCCATGAGGACGTTGCACAGGGTAGGTGAGTGCCACCGAATACCGGGGCTGCACTATGGTAGTTATGAAGTACTGGGCCAAGAGCCGCCGAGTGCTGAGAAGTTTCACAAGTCGTGCCAAATTAGCCAAATTTGTTTCCCCAGGGGCATGACAGGAGAGGAAGAGTCAGAAAGTGAAACTTCTGACGGTGAAGAGAACAGCTCCTCCGACTCAAGCACGTCGTTGGAGGAAACGGATGACTGAAGAACAGAGCCAGTGGCACAACGCTGCTAGGAGAGGGCCCAAAACAAGGGTATGGATGCTCGCTGAGGGACTCAAGGGATGTGCAATAGGTAAAGTCAGCGGGCTGAGATGCAACTTGTGGGCATTTGAGGTGTAGGAAATAGGAAGCTCACGAGAAGGACAGGACGTAAGAAGTAACAGCTAGTCACAAGGAAGAGTCATTTGTTGCTGAGGCCTTAGTCATATGTTGAGTTGTTGAGTTGATGTCAGTTTGTGCAGTTTCATTGCATTTCTCAGAACATGTGTGGCAGGCTCAAGCACAGGTGAGCCTAAGGGTGTAAAGGGATAGACCAGCGTGCCCTGGTCAATACTCAGGCCTAATGGCGGTGCCCGACCTCGACACGCCCGAGGGGCTGGCGACAGCCATCAAAGCTCTGGATCCAGATTTCCAGGGCTTGCTGGAAAGGAAAGACGTCCCAGCCAGACTGCAGGGGACGCTGAGCAACAATGGAGTGAAGAGCATCAGCAGGTTTGCAGTGTTGGGAGAGACGGCCGCAGATATGAGGCGGTTCGCCACAGACCACTGCGGGCTGGCTGCAGTCAGAGATGTGGTGCAGATAGCAGGTGTCATAGACGCCTGGGAGGCGAGCCGCACCAGAATGCAAGCCAGGCACAAGGCCGAGGCAGAAGCCTCAATGGCTTCGTTGCCGCCGCCGGTGAACAAAACAGAAGCGCAAGACCTTAAAGTAAGGTTTGAACAAGCGCACTACAAACTAGAGGACAAGGTCTGGCCGGCAACCGGCACCCTGGAGCTCCTGTTCGAGCAAGTTGAAGCAGGGGAATGGCGCCATATGTCGCTAGTCCAGTTCATGTCGAAGGACGACCAGGACCAGGAACCGTTGGGTGCCACGATAGACAAATCGGGCACAGTGAAGATCAAGAAAGGTTTTGGGGAGGCGCAACCTCCAAAGTCCCCGGAGGATCTTAGACAGAAGATCAAACTCCTTGGACATTCGTACATCTTCGTGCAACTCAAGTACCCTAATCGAGCGGTTCTCAGAGATGTCACACCGAACTTGTTTATGAAACTTGCCGACTACCTCCTCGGCGAGCACATCTTTGGCCTCAAGGCCAAGGATTCACAAGGGGAAACGGTGTCATCGCCAAGCTTTGACTTAGTGCTTAGCTATGAGTACCAGCTGAGGAAGGCCATGACAAAGGCAATGAATGAAGGAGCACCGATGGTAAGGGCACTAGAAGATGCCATGAAGGATACCACGGTGAAGGAGAGGTACTTCCTGACGCCTGCAGCGCTGGGAGCAGCATCCAGTCATGGCCCTCAGCCAGGCATCAGGATGAAGTCAAGGTCTCCACGACGAGATGGGTCTGGGGACGCACGAGGAAGCTCTTGGGGATACCGACCTAAGGGTAAAGGAAAGGGCAAGAAAGGAAAGGGCAAGAAAGCAGGGGGCCGGACCATCCATAGCCACACGCCGGACGGGCGGGCTATCTGCGACTCCTGGAACAACAAGGACCAGAGATGCAGATGGAACTGTGGTCGAGTCCATTGCTGCCAGATATGTTTCGGATCTCATCCGATGCATGCTTGCAAGGAGCAAGAAGGTAAGCCAGCAGGGAAGGACACCGCTGGCGATGCTGCAGGAAAAGCATGAAGGTTGGCAGACCCGGGGACGCTCCCCTCTCCGGGTGTCAAGAACGACAGGGGGAGCAAAGCAGAGGGCACCACGAAAGGTCTCCCAACAGACAAGTTGGGGACATGGAGGAGAGGGTTGGCAGGTCACGGGACGAGGGTCTCGTAGACAAGAACAGGAAGCACGGTGCGGTAGAGAGTAAGGCGCCGTCGCGTTTCACCTATAGAGTCCTCTACCTGTTTGCAGGAGGGGAACGAAAGACCTCCGTGGTAGAACAGCTGCGGAAAATTTTGCAGAAAAAGGGATGGGATCTGGAAGCAGTGGAAGTTGATTTAAAGCGGGGAGACCAATGGGATCTCTCCGATGAGTCGCTTCAGGACTCCATCATCAAGGATCTAGAAGCAGGTAAGTATCACGGTGTTATTTGCACACCACCTTGTTCCACCTGGTCGCGTGTCAGGTGTGCGAACCTTCGAGGCCCACCACCTCTTCGGACGAAGGAGCATCCGTGGGGCTTCCCATGGGTGGGTCGTAAGTGGGGAAAAGAGCTGCACCTAGGAAACATTTTGGTGAAGTTCTCCATTAGGGTCTGGTCCACGGTTTGTCGCTGCCCTGTTTCTTTTGATGGTTATGTTATTTTCTTATTTGGAGAACACCCGGAGGATCTAGGTGCAGTAATCAGAGAGGAGGATCGTGTCAAGTTGGTGCCAGCTAGCATTTGGCAGTTGTCAGAAATCATCAATTTGGTCAACGACCCCAACAATGACGTTCAAACCGTGGCCATTAATCAGTGCTGCTGGGGTACCCCTTGGCGCAAGCCTACACGGTTGGTGAGCAATTCACCCGTAGTCCTGGCATGGGGCTCAAACGAGTGGCCCACTTTTGACTCCGCGGGGTACTATCAGGGCCCATTGGAGAAGTCCTGCAGCTGCACCATTCAGGTATCCCTGGCCCGCCGATCAGGCGACAGCAGCTTCAGGACAGCTGGAACCGATGCTTACCCAGCAGCTCTGGACATGGCCATCGCAGAGGCCGCTGTCACCATGATAAGTGGTCAGGTCCCGCGTTTGTCGTCTCCTAAAGAGGGGTCAAGAGACATCCAACGAGGGACGCTGGAGGAGGAGGTTCACAAAACGATCCAGACAGGTTCAAAGTCTGGGTCGGGCGCTATGGCGTCAGAGGAAGCAGCACAGGTGTCGGCTCCTGTGCTGCATAGGCAAGGGGTAGGCGCATCAATCAAATGTGTCTACAAAGGAAGAAGGCGCACTATCCACGATGGTGGAGGTCTGTGTTCGCCCGGGCGATGGCCGGTGGAGGCAAGGACACGAGTCTCCAAAGAGGAGGGTACGCAGGTGGTGGCAATGTGCAAAACTCTCTTCCTCAAATGGGTCTTGGAGCAAGGGAGAAAGGAGGGGGACGCAATCAAGGAGGTGTTTTGGAGGTTGGCTGGGGGAAGACCAAGGGGTCACCCTTTGTGGACTTCATGGACAAGGCAAGACAGGAACTGGACACCAAGTTGGAAGCGCTGGGTTTCCAACCGAAGCGTCGAGAGAGGGATAGGATCTCCGAGGTGAACTTCAGGAGGCTCAAAGCGATGCTGGAGGCAGTCGACGACGAGGATAGCGACTGGATTGATGAAGTGGCAGGACGAGGGGTGAAGCTCGGTGTAGACAGGACTATGCCGAGGGTGCCTCTGGTCTTCGAGGAGAAGGTCAAATGGAACCTGGACTTTACAGATGAGGAGTTCAGGGATTCCATGGCGGCCAACTACAAATCTGCGGAGGAAAACTCTGTGGATATCAAGAGGCAAGTCATGGAAGAAGTGGAAGCCGGGACCATCATAGAGATGGGTGCAAAAGAGGCTGCAAGCAGGTATCAGGGCAAGCTGGCGGTGGCGGCTTTGGGGGCAGTCCCCAAAGAATTGGGATCGTCAGTGGTGAGGATCGTCCATGATGGCTCATTTTCAGTAGATGTAAATCATCGCATCAAGGTCCTGGACAGGATGAGGTTTCCATCCATCGACGATGCAGCAGGGATCCTGGCGCATGTGGAGGACGAGATCAGGTCAAAGGGGGGCGGGGCCAGGTGCTCGCTTCTCTACGACATCTCGCGGGCCCACAAGCTCTTGCCCGTGGATGAGGACGATTGGGGATACCAAGCCTTCAGGTTGCCAGGGGAGAACCAGGAGGACAAGGTGTACTTGCACACCCGAGGCACTTTCGGGATAGCCTCGGCGGCGTACCATTGGCAGAGATTAGCGGCCAATGTGGTCAGGCTTCTTCATCGGCTGGGTACCGACGGTTTAGGAGTGCTCCACTTGCTGTTTGCAGATGATGGATGGCTGACGGCAACGGGGGAGTACTTCTGGAGACGATTGCTCTACTGGGTATTTCTGTTGGACTTGCTGGAGATTCCCCTGTCGTGGAAGAAGGTGAGAGGAGGACTCAAACTCCAGTGGATCGGATACCAGTTGGATCTGGATGCTTTCGAGAAAGGGATCTCGGAAAGGAAGGTTCAGTGGGTGATCGATTGGATCACCAAGCACAGGGCTTCAGGCGGGGTCACTGGTCGGGAGCTGAAATCAGCTCTAGGCAGGTTCTGCTTCGTGGCCGGGGCTCTTCATCATGTGAGACCGTTCCTGGGCCCCCTCTTCGCCTGGTCGTCGGTCCTGGCAATGGGTACCTTTGCGAGGTTCCCTGACGCGGTCTCGGTCCTGCTGGACTTTGTGGAAGAGGAGATCAAGAAAGAGCCAATGAGCAAGCCGAAAAGGCTGAGCGACGAGGTGGTGGAAGCCTTCAGAGTGGATGCCAAAGCGGAAGGAGAAAAGATAGTCATTGGAGGATGGGAGGTCAACGAATCGGGTCTCACTTTGGATGCCCGATGGTTCTCGATCACCTTGACAAGAAAGAGCGCACCATGGGCGTATCTGAAAGGTCAGCCCTTCCGCAACATAGCCAGTCTGGAATTGACGGCCGTACTAACGGCAGTGATGCTGTTCGGGGAAAGTATGAAGGAGAAAGCATCTAGGAGGAGGCTCACCCTGACAGCGGCCACGGACAATCTGGGCAACACCTATGTCCTCAACCACTTCATGAGCTGTAAATACCCGCTGTCTATAGTGGTGATGGAACTGTCAGTGCAGCTCAGGAAGTATGACTTGGACCTGGACTTGGGTTGGGTCCCCAGGGCCCAGAACACAGAGGCAGATGCGCTGACCAACGAGGAGTTCTCCGGGTTCGACCCGGGGAAAAGGATAGAGGTAAATTTTGAGGAACTCAAATTTCTCATCATGGACAAGATGATGGGAAGAGCGGCTGAGTTGGACTCAGACATCAGGCTGGCGAAGTCGTCCAAGGAAGCCAAAGGAGACAGGCCAGAAGAAAGCTGCCCTAAGAGGAGACGTGGCCAGACCAGATGGGAGGACCCCTGGTGAAACGGTCGACAGGGTCCATAGCTAAACAGCATCTAAAGAGGGGCAGAGGTGCTGTCAGAGCTATGGACAGCAAGGAACTGGTTGATCAAAGTGGATCATCCAGATTAAACTGTCCCAACAAAAGGTTGGGGCAGAAAGGAGGATAGAAGCAGACTCAGGACCATTGCGCATCCCATCAAAAGAGAGTATGCTGTGCATTGCCTGCTTAGCAAGGGAGGGAATGACGAATGGTGGAACTCGTTCCTCAAATTGTCATGGACGACCGGCGTAGCACCGGCCCAAGTTTTAGGCCCTCCACCACCCCTGGCACCTCCATTGTCAGGGAGTATGCTCCTTAGAGGCACTAAGGGGCAGAGGTGCTGTCAGAGCTATGGACAGCAAGGAACTGGTTGATCAAAGTGGATCATCCAGATTAAACTGTCCCAACAAAAGGTTGGGGCAGAAAGGAGGATAGAAGCAGACTCAGGACCATTGCGCATCCCATCAAAAGAGAGTATGCTGTGCATTGCCTGCTTAGCAAGGGAGGGAATGACAGATTTATCCTCCGGTAGCTTGGAAAAGCTATTGACAATTGATATAAAAATCTATGCCTATTTCTAGATTGTTTCCAGCTGGTTTACCCATTGTTTGTGGTCAGATCCTTTTTTTTAACCCGTGATTTTCCATATGTTACCCCCTGGTTATTTAACAGTTCGCCATGGAAAGATCCACCATTTTTAATTACGGTAAACCCATCTATTTCTATGGGCCATCTATACCATGGCTATGTTAGTCATAACCATATGTTAAATGACGAGGGGATAACATGGGATAACCATGAAAAACAGGCCCTAGCGGAGCGCGGGATCCAAGTCAGGCACGCTGTCAGAGCTGTGCTGGTGCCACCACCGGGTCCGAAGAAGTGGCTGGAAGCTGAGCCGGTTATCTCTGGTTATGACTAACAGTTCGCCATGGAAAATGACCCATAGAAATAGATGGGTTTAGCTGGTTTACCTATTATTTTAATGGTGGATTTTTCCATGGCGAACTGTTAGTCATAACCAGAGGCTACATGCCATTAACGTCCATGAAATGCAATTTTTGCTGGTGGATGCTGGTTTCAAACGCACCTCCTCGGTGGAAACTCCAGCGATTTCACGTGATTCACGTTCCATCCCAGGAAATGGGATGATCATCTTCAACTGACAAACATGTACATATGGCATATTTTTACATACATTTATTATATAACATTTGTATAATATATACATATATATATAATATATGATTATATGTGTATGTATACATGTATTGTATTGTATAGAAATCTATACTCAAAATGCGCGCATCTTGAATCTGGTTGAGCCCACCAGCCGCCACCAGCTTTGAGGTCTTCACCTTGTCAGATGGCCTGATGGAGTCGCTGGGGGCTTTTTCGGAACCGCACCGACGGTTGGAGTCTGCAAAGCTTGTGAAGACTGTCGGATATGTTACAATCTAGACTGTCTAGAATCTCTTAGAAGGCTTCCAAAGATTGGAGTCTAGAATTGTCGGATATTGGAAGCCAAGTTGGAGGGGGCCCCATGTTACAGCTCTAGAATTGTTGAATATTGTTGGAATCCAAGTTCTACAACAGCACTACTTACAGCGACTGGAACGCCTTGAGGTTGAAGCTGGATGCTGGCAACGAAAGTAATGAAACAGATCAGGAGGAGAAAGTCCAGAGGGAGTGGTTTCAGCCTATTTGGCTTTTTCCAATGATTTGGGGGGGCCCCCAATGGGTCCCCAATCATCCAAAGTTGGCAATTTGTAAGAGGAAAAACTGTGTTTTTTACCCCAGAGGAGGTGCCGGTGATCGACACATCGGAAATTCTGACGGATGACTCCTCCAATGAGAGTTTCTTTGTTTGCACAGAAACCGGGGGTTTCTGGATGCCGGATGTGAAGATTTGACGATCTATATTGGAGGTTTCAGGGGTATCCCAAATCATTCAAATTTTGACCCGTTTGGTATTGAAACCCATGGTTTTGGGGATCACCCATCTTAAGAAACACCCATATGCTATATGCATCTATAAGCTAGGAATTTGCACTGCCGTCATTTTCTGAAAGGAATGCTCATCCATACTCAAGCTCCCTTTATTTTTGTGGACATGTTGTCATTGGGCACTCAAATTTAAAGCGACTGATTGTTGTATCGCTGGCAGCTGACAGGTGACTCAGAGTCAGAGAACGTAAGCAATGCCAGCAATGAGACGATGAAGGCAGAGGCAGGGGGTGAAGGCGTTACCAACATTGTCTTGGTCATGGGTGGATAAGCATGAAACAGGGTCATGCGTGGCTTGCGACTGGGTCGCAGTCACGCAAGATCATACTATATATATATATATCTGGTTGGTGGTTTGGAACATTGTTTATTTTTCCATATATTGGGAGCAATCATCCCAACTGACTAATATTTTTCAGAGGGGTGGCTCAACCACCAACCAGTATACTATAATCGAACTTGGATGAACTGTTCAAGTTCTAAGTCCTGCAAAGTTCACCAGATTCAACCAATTTCAACAATGATCCCTGTTGTTTTGCCATGTTTTCCCCTAAGCCAATGGCCATGCCATGGTTGCCGTGATATCCACGGCACACGGCCTGGTGAGTGACCAGGTGCCTCTAGTGGGTGGCCTGGCCTTCTTTGTGACCAACAAGAGCCACAAACTCTTCCAGCGCCTTGGTGAAGGTTCCATTGCACCCCCCAATATTGAACATCTGGAACGATCATGGGGGAACATCGAACCATCCTGGTTTCACACCTTTCGGCATCTGTTTGAGGGGTGCGATATTTATTATATCTTATATATGATATATATATATGATTTATATATGATTTATATATGATTTATATATGATTTATATATGATTTATATATGATTTATATATGCTTTATATATGATTTATATATGATTTATATATATGTATACTCTATATTTATAATACATTGATCTATATTTAGGGTTTTGATGAACTTCCAAGCGGCTCCTGATTCCAGGCTTCCCCCTTTGGTGGTTGACCCGACTGGGAGTTTCAGCTTTGTGGTGCAGCCGGTCTCAGCCTCAGAGCCAGGTCGGAATTCACAGTTTGCCATGGGAAAATCCACCACCTTTAAGAGGCCACTAATATAGGATATATAGGTAAATCATCCATAAAGGCATCCATAAAACATATATAAATATATAAATTATGGTATTAAATGGTCAATTTTCCAATCTTTCCAGAGCTATGTTAAACTACCGGAGGTACATGATACACCAACTGCCGGTTGTTGCTGGGTGCAAGACTTGACCAACAGCATGTCAAGACAGTCGGCAGTTATTTTGCCGAAAGTCGCCGTAAATGAGAGAATATACAATAAATTAATATGAATTATATAACAAATATAGATATAATAAATAAAGAAATAAATAAATGAATAGATAAATAAACAAATAAATGAATAAATAAATACACACACATATATATATAATAAATAATAATTATTAATAATAATAATAAGTATTTTTCCAATTCAAGCCTTGAGATACCTTGAGCACAGGGTTTAGTCGCCGTCTTCCAGCTATAAAAAAAGGCGACTCTAAGCTCTGACTTGCGAAGATTCAGTCAAGACAATCAAGATGCCACCCCCATCAGTCTCAGGACACCATCTACACCATCACTTCCATGAACCTCACCTGGACAAACCTCACCTGGACCGAGCGGATGGATGCTGCGAATCAGAGCTCACAGGCTGGGACCCGCAGGTCGTTACTATAGCTTCCTCTACTTCAAAGAATTGGAAAAGATGATCATGATGGTGATGGTCATGACATGTCATGACTATGGCAGCTATATGCTGTGATCATCTGTGATCTCCGTTTTTGCTCTCTCCGCTCTTTGCATGTAGTGTTGCTGGACAAGAACATGGACATGCACATCCAGTCATGGTTTCGTAAACTAAAATTTCCCTGGTATGATCCAAGATTCCCTTGAAGGCATGCCACGCTTGGGGCCGCCAGTACGAAACCATTCTAGTCCATATCCCATGAAGTGCCAACAAGTGATCCCAATTCCAAGGAGTGAGGGTCTAAGTCACAAATTGGATAGGCCGATAGGCATTTTGGCTCACAACCATATGCGAGAAATGTGACTCGCTGATACGCCTCAGCCTGTGCAGCCGCAACCTGGTTGCAAAGCAGTCTGCAGCAGCTGATTTTCTTGGCGTAGTCATTGGAGGGTAATGTGGTAAATCCAACAATATACCTACCATTTGGGAATGGTTTACAGCACCCATTCATGGTGATTTTGGGGATGGTTTATGATTTGCTTTACCACATTTAGTTCAAACATGTTCAAACTGGCAGCTCAGGCCTTTCAAGAAGCATGGCAAGTGTCAAGAACGATGCGTTGCTCAAGCGCAGCACGGCAGCAGTGGATTTCCATGGAATGATGCTGGAAAGTTGTTTTGGTTGAGACGGGACTACATCTACAACAGTGGTGAGTGATGTGAGTGCAACCCTAAACTCCCCAGCCAAGCGCTGCAAACGAGGCACTGTAGAGGGCAGCCTGAATTACTATGACAACCACATGGGCTGCGGGACTGCAGCCGACAAGGCCATCGCAGCACGACTTGGGGGCCACAGCTGGAGGCTTAGCCATTGCCTTGCTGCTTAATGAACTATGCTTAATCGCCTCGTTGAGGAACATGTGGATCCCCTTGGCCCGCTTAGCCCCCTTACGTTGTGTTGTGATGTTAATGAACCGGGGCTCCAAGGCTACAACATTCTGAGCACCTTGGCACAGTGCGTTGAGCTACTTCGACCTGCGTTCACCGTTGTGTTTTGCAGGATCTGCAGGCAGAGAGGTGTATGAACGGCAGGAAACAACCTTGTGTAATTTGTGGGAACATGTTTGAAGTTCTTTCCATTGCCACATGTAAGGCAACCAAGTGACTCGGATGCAGCGTGAGTAGATTTTGAGTTTGCCAGGTATAGAAATTGGGTGCTTCTTGACCGAAAGGAGGGCCAGCATTTCTGTAATCATCATACATTTTGCTTCAGGCAGATCCCATTTGACCATATTTTACCAAGCAGGGCCAGTCTGCGACAGCCTGTTTGTGTTGAAGCGGAACTTGCAGCTTCAGCGGCATGTTCCAAAAAGCCGCAGGGACCATACCTTTCAGGTCCTGCAAAGCATGAGCCAAGGAGAGGACAGAGGTCTACATGCGGAACCTCCGGAATGACTATCATTTCTTGGATCGAAAAGGCCGGGCGGGGAGTGCATGATGGAATTTCCTAATTAACGCCTCATTCTCTGGGCCGCCTTCCGCCTCAAGAAATCAAAGGGGCTTCATGAAGCCATAAGGGTTTACCGCAATTCAAGCATTTCAAATTGGATTGCGCTCTGGTTGGCGGCAACAGGATTCACTTCCCAAGTTATAGCAATCCCCCACAAGATGTCGAAACATGAGCCAGGATGGTATAGATGATGTTCTCGACATAATTTCCGGGTTTAATTGTTCTGTTCTGTTTCCGGTGCTATAACGACCATCATGTTGCGTGGGCTCTGGAATCGCAGGTCGCCACACCTCAGCGTTTTTTGGCGCCCGGCGGCGGAAGTTTGCGCCCCACAAGTGTCCGGGTGCTCGGAAATATTTTTTTTCGGGTTGCCCTCTGGTAATCAAACATGGCTAGCTGGGAAATCCCATGAAATCCCCCCAAAAATGGAGGTTTTAACCTGTAATGGGAAGATCCCCTATGAAGTGGAGCTTTATAACTGGGAAATTCATAGAACTATAAATGGACTACTGTAAGTGTTTTTTTAAAATTGCCATGTTGGATTTCCGGCGGGTAAGTTAAACTGAAGTTGGAAGTGATGGGCAGTATGCCAACTATACATAACTATACAGGAAGAGGAAACATCAAAGCTCGAGACATTAGAGATTGATGGAGATTGGGGGATTTGGCACTCTCTGCGGAATGATGTTGAAATGAGCATGTTCAAGCATTGACTTGGCCCAGCAAACACCAGCTTTGCCTGCACTGGTGAGACTCAATGGTCCAACCTCCCAACACCCTCCGGCCGCGATCGAGGGCAAGAAATCAAGGAGTGCGTGACTCTGCAGGCCAGTTGAGTTGGTGGACCTGGACAAGGTTACTTTTTATTTAATGAAAACTGAAAAGATGTTTGGCAATGTTTGGCAGATCTTCATATTTCCCCCCTGAACGCTGCAGGTTGGGGAAAAAAAGGTAGCATTACTAAGAATAATGCTAAAAATAGTATGGGAACAGCGATGGAGAGAGAGAAGAGTAAGGGTTTCCGATGGGTTTCCCAACAGTCTCTGGTCAGAAGCAGTGGAGGACAGCCATCCGCGGGAAAACTTTGCTGCAGAGCGGCGGGCCGAGATCCAGCTGGCACAGATCGAGAATAGCGGGTTCGGGGGCCCTGGGGCTCTGGGGCCCTCGATGGCGTGGAGGATGGACTAGGATGGGGTGTTCCCATAGATACCGTTAGATGACCATAGACTATAGTAGATGTTTGACATAGGGAAACGAAAGAAAAGCAAGGAAACCGTACAGTAGCAAAAAACCTAGGATCACCTCACTCACGCTTCAAACATCTTAGAACTCAGCATATGCCTCAGAGTATCCTCAGAGTCTTTTGGTCCAAGCCGCCAAATGAAGTCCTCCCGCACTGGTGTTGAGGTCCTTTCTGGGCTTCCAGAACCGGACGCAACAGATGGGTCACCAAACTATGCCGATTCATGGCTGTATATTTGGCAAGATGCAGCTTCATCCTGGCTCGGACAATGCCTGGCACCAGTCCATATATCAAGCACCATCAGTCACCATCAGTCACTACTGGTATCATGGTATACAGTATAGTGTCGCATAATGTCGCATGTGCACCGCTCTATATGCGCTTTCTGCATATTTATAGAGGTGATTCAGGATAGTGCTGCAGTGGCAGGCTTTCATTTAACGCCGAGGAAGCGTTACTCCATCAGTAACCAGAGGCTGCGCACAGCGGGTCAGTTTGACCTTGGGCAGGAAAACTCTGTGACACATGTGACAAATGTGTCCGTGAAAAGACTGTGAAAACCTTGGGTAACTTGGGTTAACAGCACCGAGCTGTTTGGTTCAGATTTGATCCGTAATTACTTGAGCAAATGGACGCTGTATCTAGATGTATCTAGCGCATTTACGGTCTCAAATTATGTTTTGGAAAAGAATGCCTGATTTCGCAATTGAAAGGGTAGCTCTTCCAATTTACTGGAGACACTGCGAATGATAGAAATAGATAGAAAATGATAGAAATAACTAATGACACTGTTAAAACTAGAACATGTCTTTGGAAGCATGGGGTTATATTATATATATATAATATGTAATTATATATATATATATAAATATATTATTACCCATATAGATATGGAAGACCAGTCGTGGAGGATGAGACCTCGAAAGCCACCATGATCTCATGGGAAGATGCCGATGGCCAAACTGGCCGGCGCCGGCAGGTATGGATTGGAGCAGGAGAAGTTGCGGCAGAAGCTCACGAGTAAATCGGACTGGTTGGCACGCAGGGGTGCTTCTTGGCTCTAAATGATGCAGAGTTATGTGGCAGGTTTTAGATGTTCAAGTGCTTCAGCATCTTTTCTGGACTTGTCTTTGGGGATTTTGGGCTTGTGATGCCTTGTGTGTTGGAGCCGGATATGACGCGACATGACTCGACCCGGCGACCCTGATCGCATCTGATCGCCACGTGAATTTTGAGGAATCAGCGACTCACAGCGCGTCCTGCCCCAATTTGCATCTCACTGCCCCGGCAGAGTCCCTGACGCAAGCTATTCGCTCCGACGCGCGCAAGGAGGTGGCGGTTGGATGATGTTGGATGCAGAGTTTGAATCATGTTGAACCAATGATAGAACATGGCCTAGACGGGAGAGGGCAAGAGGGTCGTAGTGCCTCCAGAGCTGTAGAGATGTGAAACATGACTGAAGCATGTTGACCCAAGCTGCAGTTGGCTTGTCATACCTATGTCCATATTTTGTCATATATTGACCATTGACCTGGGGCCAGCCAGAGCTTTGTTGCAGGTCTCGCAGCGTCAGAATGAAAGCATCCCGGTTGAACGTGTGGAATGGCAGTTGTTTTTTCCCCGTTTTTTGGTGACCGGTCACCAGGGGCTTTCACCATGTTTCACCCGGGATCCAGCCCCAAGCCCGGCCCAAGCCCTGAAGGTGCACACTTTGCGCCATGGATGGCGCAGAACACCTTCACCCAATCCTTAGATGCTACGGCGCCAGGAGCGGAGCTTGAACTCTGTGAGTCGTGGGTGTGGAAAAACTCAGTCCAAAGAACCCGATGAGACCATCCTCTGCAGGACGAGCACATGCGGCGGCTCAAAACAAGCTGTCGATCAGCCGTTTAGAGAATTATGACTTTGACTCTTGGCCAACTTCAATGGAGTTAAAGGGAACATCTACAGGGAAACAATGGGAACCCATTTTTTATCATTTCTTTTTCCTCCAAAAACAGGGGTTTCCTATGGTTTCCTGCATATTTTCCAACCAATCCAGTGCATTCCATTGCAGAAACCACATGGCGATTGCGGTGGTCCGTTGCGATTCCGTTAAGGCCATCGTGAGGGCCAACAACCACTACTCGTCACAGGACAAGCTGACACGATCAGATCCTTACTACATGCGTCCGCGGCAAGGTGCACTGGGAACGTGGCGGAAAAAACAGTGTTAAGACATGTTAAGCTGCAGGGCTGCTCAGCAGCCGTGCATTCTACTTGCATCTACTTGCCATGGTTAGTATATAGATGCTCCCTGTATTTAATATTACTTCATATATCTTCATATTATTTCATTATACTTAATTTCAATGGCGGCGCTGAAACCTGGGTTTCTCTGGTAGCTTTCTGCTGAGTTTTGGTGGTTCAGCAGGCGATACCTACAACTCTGTGAAGTACAACGTCATCACAAACGAGAGGAGCCTCGATCAACTTGGGCAACAAACGGGGCGGGATGAGTCAGCTGGATATATGGGGAAAAAACGTGGCCTAGGTACCGCGAATTCTCAAGGCAGCAAGATCAGGGTCATGAAATATCAAAGGTGGCTGGAACATGTTTCGATCATCAGCTCACCCGGACTGTGCAATTAGATGGTTTCAATTGGCACTGATTTGCAGGCGGTGGTTCAAGTACTAGCTGCTGGTGACGATAGGGTTTAGGGGATTTTCGCAGCTACCATTGTCTCACTGTGTCGTTTCACTTTGTAGTTCATCCGCATGTACTTTGCACGTGGCTGGCACGTGCTTTGACAGCGAAGCCCTCACCCAAAGGGTGTTTCTTGGGCACTCGCGCATCAGCATCAGCGGTCGTCATGTGAAAGAGTGTGCTGCAAATAGAATGCGGGTTGACGAGAGGCAGAAGCCATTGCGGAAGTTTCACAATGTTTCACATGCTGAGAGAGACGAATGGTGCAGAGATGACCTCATGTGCTATAGTTTGTCATTGCATGTCATTGCCTAATTACTGCTTGGCTGCACTCCCGTAGGTTTCCACATCTTCCTTTCCTGTACCTTATCATGATGACTTCGACATGCAACTTGGAGTAACCAATTGCCAACGGCCGTGGAAAGTGTCGGTGTGCCCTTGCAGCTGGCCTTCTGAGGTATGTCCCTGAAGCAACTTGTCAAGCCAAATATTGTGCAAAGGGGGCCTCAAAGAGTGCGTACGACCTGAAGAGCCACTGCTTTATCCGTGTTTTTATGAAGGACTATAGAAATATAGTGGCTAGGGCTAGGACCTCACTTTTTTCTACATAACCCAGGTCTTAGATCTGCCCTAGTGTTTGCCACCACAATTTGGGAGCTTTGTGGCCAAAATGGCAACGCTTGTCGCATTGGCAGCTAAGGAAACACCTGGATACTTTGCTGACTACGGTGGATCCTTTGAAGTGTCAGAGGACACCGGTCGCACTTTTGAGAGCAAAATTCATTCTTTTGATCTTTGCAACTGGCAATGATACGCAATTGGAGTCTATCTATTATTCAGTAGGCGGTTGAGATGAAATCAAGCTAGTCCAATTCAACACTGCGACTGTGCGTATGCAAAAAGGATGTGGATTGGGGCCAGTTGGGGTGAACTTATCCAGAACTGTTTCCAGCTGTGGTCAGTGGTGCAGCAGTGCAGCTTACTGGTGCCAACAGAGGTTCCGACAGCCTCGGAATGGCTCAGGATCCATCGTATTCGCCAAATCTGGTGTTGAAACAAGTGCTATTGGAGAAAGCAACTTGCCATGTTTGGAAAAGTGTCGCCACTTTTCCAAGTTTTCCACCCTGTATAGTCAGAAGGGCCAAGGCAGTTGGAAAACGTTGAAGTGCCAGATATTTAGAGAAATCATTTTGACTTTAACAGGGAGAGTAGTCCCAGTTCCCTGTCCAGCTGCGTTTTGTTGTTGTTGTTGTTGTTACCCTTTCCAAGTTCAGAGTCAGAACCCGTTTTTCTTGGCGCGGCTTCTGCAAGGAACTTTCCGCAAGTGGAACCAATAACAGACCGAGAAGTTTTTAACTTCCACTACTTGGCGGCTTGAACATTATATATATTGTATATATATATATTTTGAAGGATTTTGAAGGATTTTGAAGGATTTTGAAGGATTGCGGATGCTTGTTCAGTTCTATCCTGTGGGGATGGGGATGGGTGGCACCACCAAAGTCCTGATCCAGCGCTGAGGCCGGGGCCAATCGATGGACTTCGGCTTCTGATCCCATCACATTGATTGGTCACAGGACGGGGTTAATATGGCGCTGGCTGTTTAAGGACTGGCTGTGTTAATGGGTTAATGTTTTAATATGGCTGTGTGAAAATAGCATGTGAATGTTTGTTAATAACATGTTCATGTTTGTTAATGGGTGCTTGAGATGGCATTTAAGCATGTATATTCAAAGGGGTAAGCCATGACCAGATAGTTTGATGTAGAAACAATATGAAACAATCGCAGCAGAGGTTTGACTCGTACTTAAGTGCCCGCGATCCAGAAAAGCTACCTACATATCCTATATCGACCTAGGCCTGAACAGTGTGACTTTGCATTCCTGAAAATGCAACAGCCAGAAATCTTAAAAATCCCTTCAAAACTAAACAACATCATCATAGCAGTTAAGTTTCCATCCATCAAATATTCAAATATATAATCCAAACATATCCAATCATGGCTCTTTTGGGAAACCAATTTAAGCAATCATGATTTTTGTGATGCTCAATTGATATCTTCACTGGTCTTCAGATGCTAGTCTTGCTCCATCTTGGATCTGCATGCATCCATTCCGGTGCTCACTGGATCAATTTTCTATCCATTCACTTTCAGGTTTCTCATGTGATATGTGGTTGTAGCCAAGGCTAGCCCTATTTGGTGATAGGGAACTAATTGGGCGCAGGTTGGCCAATGTTGCCGCAACGGCCTCTTGGCGCACCCTGAACAGAGATTTTTTTTTTCGGGCCTCGCATGTGCTCCAGAGGGAAGCTATCCCAACAATCAAACCTTCAAAATTAAGCACCTGGTGACCTAGGTCGACGTGTACATTCCAGATGCGCCGACACTTGGATGAGCTGAAACTGGAAACCCAGATGAGCCCACGACTTGCCCACCTTTCAAGGACTTGCACTCCTTTTCATGCGAAGCTGTATTGTCTGTATTGATCCATGCCCATGCCCAAAGTCAGAACAAGTCTCTGTTTGATGCTGTTGGATCTGTTGGCACCGCTTGCCTTCGCCCGAAAATTGTCACTGCATGACTTTGCACAGTGTTTTTGTTGCCAAGGATTGCCTTTCAGGAGCCGATCAGATTGGGAATTCAGGCCCGGAGTCCATGGCGACCTAGTGCTCGTGCCATCCTTGAGAGATGGCAATTATTTTCTGTTTCACCCAAGCTGAGTGTTTTTAGGACCCAACTGCTGCATTCCAAGATATTCTGGCCTTTGAATAGCACCAGGCACCCGGTTCAAGTGGTACAGTGGTGTACAGTGCTTAAATTCCAACCTCTGCTCCGAGAAAGGCGGCGTGGAATGGGCATTGCCTTTCGACACGCGCAGCTAAGTGGCACTTGGTAGATGGCTTGCACTTGGACGTGCGTCTCAGTGAATGCCTGGTCAACACGATCACATCACCAAATGGCCAAGCCAAGCAACACAGCTCATGAAGAATCCCAGTGAGGGACTAGGCTTGGAATGTCATAAGTGCAAACATTGATGTCGTGAAATGATC